ACGTTGGGCAGGGAATCGCCACCATCCAGGGCAGGACATAGCCACTGTCCCAGCTCCTCTCCCAGAATATCCGGCTGCCTGAACCTAGGGAGACTCGTACCTGAGACTGATCCAGACACTTAAGGGAAAGAGACCAGAGCCAAGCACACAGAAGAGGCTTCAGGACTGGGTCATTCTCCCCGGAGCTCGCCCTCCCAGACGGCGAGGCGCTCAGGCCCCCTATCCCCCCTCATCCCCGGGGCAACCCTCATTTACAACCATCTCCTCGCACGGGGCAGGGACGGAGGGGCCCGCGCTGAGGCGGGCTGGTACAGCTTTAAACCTCAGCAGGCTGCTTAGTCACAGCCCCTTCTCTAGGGTGTGTCTCTTACTGGCTCCCTCCCTGATCCCTCCCGCTTAGGTCACTCAGCCCTCGAATAAAAACTGCCGCCAACTTCCGAGGCGGCCTCATTGCCCAGCCGGACCCCAGCCCCTGACAGGTTCGGCCCGCCCTCCTCGCCCCGTCCTCCACCAGCCCCCCACCCAGCGCACCCCGACTCTCCTGCTGCACTCGCTGGCTCCCTCGGTTCGGTTCCCGCTGACAAGACAGCATGGACAAATTTTGGTGGCACGCAGCCTGGGGACTCTGCCTCGTGCAGCTGAGCCTGGCACAGCAGATCGGTGAGTGCCCGCGGGGCAGCAGGAGGGGCAGAGGCCTGACGGACCCCACGCCGCGCGGCTGCCTCGGCCCGGGAGACCTACACGCGTGGGCGGCAGGCGCTGCGGGTCTGGTTACGGGGAACCAGGCTACGGTCTGCGCTGAGCTGCAGAAGAGTTTGACTGGGAAGCCCTGTGTTGTTGAAAAGAAAAGAGAGAGGCGACAAAACAAAGTTTTTTGGACAGGCTGCGTGCAGGCAGTTTGGGGCGAGGTCCTGGAGAGAAGCACCGGCAGAAGTAACTGTACTCTGCAACCCTGGACGCCGGCCCCAGTCGCCGCTAACAGGCTCCTGCGCCCGAGGGCGCGGGAAGCCGGGCTGGGCTGTGGCTCCGCAAGGCAGAGGAGGGTAGGCTGGGCAGGGGCAGGTGTCCACAGAGGCGGACACAGTCGCCTGTGTGAGAGCTGGTGTCAGTGCGCTTCCCCCAAAGAAGTCTTGGGTCCTCTGCCGCTCCTGATTCCCAAGTTCTCGTAGTTGGCTCCAGTCACTATCTTAGTGCCTGTGGGAACTTGAACCAGCTTCGTGGCCAGGTTCTGAGTCTCCACGAGGTGCCAGCCTTAGGCAGGGACTGTGATAGTCCTGTAATGACTGGGCCAGCTGCTCCATCCTTGCAACAGCCTGCTGCTGCCAATCAGTTAGGGGAAATCCAGATAGTGATGCCGTGTATTCCCTGCCTGGCAGCCTCAGGGCAGGAGGGGAGCGGGACAGCAGGGTGGCATCAGGGACCCTGGAGCTGGGGCTGCCAGTTTCCCTTCCAAACAGGGTCTGTGCTTGGTGATTGTGGAGGTGGGTGGTTGCCTGTGGGGTATTCTGGCAAGGCTGAATGCCAAGCGTTCCTTCCTTTTCTTTGTCTATATATGTACAGATAATTACATGGCCGATTAGCTTATCACTCACAAAATAAATTTTACTTTTAAGGAGTGCCAGCTGGGTCATTAAGACAGCTCACCCTCTGGTTAATTCTACTCAGTAAGTATTTACTAAACCCAGTTCTGGGAAACCAAGAAAGTAAATGACACAGACCCACTGGGCATTTGAGATGGAGGAAAGGTGGGAGTTAGGGTTTAGATTCTGCAACAATGAACAGTAACAATAGTTGGGATAATAGCACTAACCACCCCATACCGCACACTTTCCCTGGGCCCAGCACTGTCCTAGGGGAAGCACAGTTCTTCACGTGGGTTCTTTTATGTGACTCTCACATGGCCTATGAGACCCATGCTTTCCTTTCTGTGTTAAAGGAAGGAAACTGAGGCTCAGAGATGTTAAGTGACTTGTAGGTGTTTGCACAGCAAGAAAGGTTGGTGCTGGATGTGAACCCAGGCCCATTAATCTTAGTGAGAAAGAGGGGTGGTGATGGCCTAGAGGACCGAGAGGCAGCTTCCGCAGAGAGCTGGATGGAGCTCCAGCCAGCTGGAAAGACCCATGGGCGGTATGGGAGAGAGAGGGAAACTTGAATTCAGGGAGGAGCCTGGGCCTGGCCTCTGAGCCCAGGAACCCGGGAGGCTTACCCATGGCATCTAGGGGAGTTCATTTGTAAGTTAACTTCCTGTCATGTAGTCTGCTTTGTTCTGAGGATTCTGACTCCAGCCTCCTTCCAACCCTTCTTCCCAATTCTTATAAAGGTCTCCCCACCCACAAATACTTGGCATGTCCTGACCGTTGAGATTTTTCAGTGACCAGCAGTCTCACTCCTGCTCTCCTAGCTCATAGTCCCATTGGGCAGTGTCACTGGAGAAAGCACAAAAAAATGCCGGTAGCAATAACTGCCTGGGCCCTGGCTTTCATGTGCTTGTAAAGTTGTTTGGAAGGAACTGAGACTTGGAAAGGAGGCCTGACTTTACAGAGGGTTTGGGCTGGGCAGGCAGAGAAGGGGGGGTGGGGGGAGGGAAGAGAGGATCTGGTGTTGGCCCATTCTAGAGAGTGGATTTCAGAAGACAATGAGGAAATTTGGAAAGAGACGTGGCTTGGGGACTAAAGGATCCAATTTTCTTATAAGAAAGCAAAAGAGAGAGAAAGGAACTCTGAATTGGGTTGGGGAGGAAGACAGTGGCCCAGAGCAGGGAGTCAGGGGGATGAGCTCTCTGGGCACATGTTTCTTCTTTTCTCTTTTTCTTTCCACTGTGGGCCAGAAATCATGGCTAAGGGACTTTTTACTCTGGTGTTGAGAAAGAGGTGTCTGAGCTTCTAGGGCTGGGAGGTCGTACATCTCTTGGCACCCTTCTGCCCCCTCTGAGCATTAGACTCCCCCTTCCACTGGGAGTTAGAGCTTCAGCTCTTTCCTGGGTGAAGAAGCAAGGAAGCAAAGCTCTGTTGTTTGCTGAGGGTTAGCATCAATTAATCCAGTTAGTCCCCAGATACACATTGGGCATCTACTTTCTATGAGGCACAGTGCCAAGTAGGTGTGCTTCAGCTTGGCAGTCAGAATAAAACTTCCATAGTCTTCCAAAATGCTCACGTAGGAGAGGGTGCTGGCCAGCGTGAAATTCTTAATTTATGACAGATCTCCTTCCATTCAGTCAGTAAGTATTTTTTGACTCATTGTCATAGAATCAGAGATGGGGACATTGGAAAAAAAAAAAAAAAAAACCCTTCTTTTTCCCAAAGAGGAAATGAACCCTGAATGAGAGGGAGGAGTGACTTCCCCTTCTAGAGCCTCTCTGCAATGCATCCCACAGGCAAGGACCACAGGAAGGGAAGCCCTTCCCCTCCCTGTGGACAGGGAGGGTGTGGCCTATCAGCTTAACAATACTTTTTTCATGCCTACACACTATCTTTAAGAAATTTTGTATTTTACTCCACAACAGACCCTATTTGAGTTAAACCTGAGAATCATAAGGAACCTTTCTTAAGATAATACAAAGATGTTGCTTAAGAGAAAGTGTAATGCCACGGGGCTTCCAGGCCCCTCTTCAGCAGTGCTTGATCCCTCCGATTTGGAGCACCCTGGTTTTCAAAGCCTGACCTCAGCTATGGCATCTTCTGCCTGTGTGCTCCTAAATCCCCAGGAATGCCGTTTACTGAGCTCAGACTCTGAGAGGCTTTCAGCAAGGTGCTTAGCACTGGCTGTCTTAGGTAGACCTCACTGCAGCCTACACATTCAGTACACTTGTAACTCCCTGCCCCACAACAAAGACATTGAGACTCAGGACTACAGTATGACTTGCCTAAGGTCACGCATACTAAGTAGTGAAGTCGGGGAACTCTGTTGTCTAACATCCGCCCTGTGTAGACCCCAGCCCGTACTCCTGTGACACTCTGCCGACAGAGGACTTTGGAGATGGTGTGAAGCCTGCTGTAAGTGGCTCCCCCACCTAGCCCCACTGCCTGGACTCCTGGCTGCCCTGTCCTGCCCTGGCCTGTCTCTCCCCAGGTTTGGCCACAGCTATCAAGACATGCCAACCTAGTTATTTGTTACTAAAATAAGTCCGTTCCCTTATCAGAGTCCAACTGCCCTTCTAGACATGCTCTCATTTGCAGGCTTGGAAAAAAGGGAGAGGCTTTTCTTGTCTAAGAGACAAGTTAGGGCAATGCCCTTGCCTGGAAATTAAGAGGCCCGCGGGGTACTCTCATGCTGACCTGCAAACAGTTTAGGTGCGCTGACCTAGAAAGCCCCCCTCATCCGTGCGCCTTGGAAACCCTCAGAGATCATCAGTTGTCTGCCCAGGGAGGGAACTGTCATGAGGGTCTTTGACTTGGTGTACCAAGTCAAGGGTCTTGACCCAAATGCCACTGTGGGGCTCTAGGTGACACGTCACCACCTAAGTGAGACTTCAGCTCAGCCTGCAAATCAGATAGGTGAAGACTGGGGTCCCTTGGCCCAGTGGTGGTGATGGGAGGTGAGCTCGGTTGCCCTCTAGTCTGTCCTGACAGGGGCTGGGGCCAGGGTTGAGGTACTGTTTGCTGTGTGTTACCACAGCACCTCTGCTTTAGCAGACCTCACCCAGAGTCTGAATGGGAAGTGACTCTTGTGAAAGAAGGAGCTGAAGCAGGTGGCAGATGCTTCCAGGCAGAGCCTAGTTCTCAAAGGGGATCTTTTTTGCCTCAGAGAGAAATTCTGAGGGGTTGCACAGTGAGGTGATGAGTCAACTTCCTTTGTGTCCTGGCTTAAAAAGGAAGCACACAAGCGTTCTCTAGAATTACCAGGGCAGGCTAGTGCCTTCTAATTCAAATCTAATTCAAACCCTGCTTTTCACTTATTTAGCAAGTAGAAATTTTTCTTAAAAAGTTGTATTGCCCCAAGATGGAAAAAGATACAAAATGAAAAATCATGTTTAAAAAAAAAAAAAAAAGTTGTATTGCCCCAAAGCCAGTCAATGAGTGTTTTGGAAGCCAGCCTCAGTTGTCAGGAGGAGGGGTGCTTTCTCATTTGTGTGATGGAATCTGACTTGGTATGCCTGTAGCAATTATGTAGTCCACACTTTCTAGGAGAAGCAGGATGTAAAATAAACAGATATTCTACCAATTACTGAAATTATTGAATATTATATATGATAACTAAATATAGATTTTTCAACAATAAATGCATGGCTTCCTGTGATGAGAAGTCAAAAACTCTGCCAGACCTTTTGTCTTAAGAAGGCTATAACTCTTCAATCAGTCTCGTGTCGGATTAAGCTTCTGTTTGACTCAGAAGATGTGTATTTGGAAGAGAAATAGTTTTCCTCTTGTTTACTCCATGTGAAATGCCAGGAAAAGTTACTTCAGGATCCATGTATCTGGAAACATGAAGCCAGATCCAATGTGGGTATGCCATTAGCATTTCACAGGATGTCTTCTGTGTTGGGTACCCCAGGGGAATTAAACGTATGAACTGCAGGCTTTGCATCCAAGAACCTCATGATGCTTTGTGCCTCCTACCCTGCAAGCAGGTGGCAGCTGCCCTGCTTAGACTGAGGCTGGTGGCATCACTAGCCGAAGCACACAGAATGCTGGAGGAATCCAGAAAGGGGAGAATTGGCAATG